AGCGCATTTGGTATGCGGTGCGCGCGCGGGCAAATTGTCGATTGTATCGTGCCGTTAATCCCTGATTAGGAAAAGGACAGCCGGTGGAGTCGTTGAGAAAGAAGAAATTTTGTTTATTTTTAAACATGAATGAGAGATGGAATTATAAAATCAAAATTCAATTGTAAATTATATGATTCACAATTATCCATTAATCAGTTGATGGTTTTTCAACATTTTTTTACCCGCTCCCGCTTGGTGAAACATGGTCAGGTTTAAGAGTATTGCTCCCCCGTCCACCCAAATCACGTGTATTTTTAGTATTTACAAAATTCCTAATTTTTGACTTTGCTTTTCGGTTTAGAAAAAACCGATTCAATATATAGTAGACGGAATAAGACATACTGTTATCTCACCAATAATAGGATATTCTATTCTGATTGTAAAAGTACTTATGAGTGTTTATTTTTATTTAAAAAAGTCACGAAAAATTAACACTTTTTCTTACTTTAAATCTAAAATTAAACTTTCTAACTAAATTTAAACAATCTTCTAGTTATTTGCTTTATAATAACGTGAAGTGATGTGACACTATAACGGGTCGAGTTATATCACGTTATAAACAGACAAAAAGACCTTAATACTCAATCGTGTTATCGCAAACCATAGTTTAAACTAATAAATTTTAACATAATTCTATTTAATTTAATTAATCTAGCGATTTTATGACTCAAAATCAGAATATCTATGTTTAGTTCAATGACATGTGAATTAATTTTTCTGCAACTCGTAACTTATTTTTCACTACCGAATAGTTTCGGTTGTGAAAATAAGTTACGAGTTGTTACTAGGGCAAGTGAAAAAATGAACTCTGTTCCTAAGTATTGTATGAGCATTAAAGCAAACGATACGAATGGCTATCATATACCGCTATATCGTTATATCTAATCTCTGTATCGGAAACAATATGGGCTCTATGGATAGCAATAGGTATCGTTTACATTCATCGCTCACGTACTATTTTGGATCAATGTCAGTTTTATCGTCTGCAAATAGAATTTGATGTATTTTGTAGTTTTTTATAATAACATCGACATTTAAGGTAGAAATACAAACAGTTTTAATACATACAGCTCCATACCATTGTAGGCATATTAACTGATTGCTAATACTAATAAAGACATGTACCAATTTTCATATGCGTACGCAAATTTGACATCTCAGGGCTATTATTCACGACTGACAATTTATAGGTTACGTGATATTATAATTATAGGATCCTCTTTCGCTGCACAAAAATATTACAAGTTAAAAATATTTATATTATATTTTAAAAGACTAACAGCCAGTTGCGCAAATATCCATTAAAACTTTCATTAGTTTAAAGCGTTTACAGGCGACATTCATTAGAGTTTACAGGAGTCATTAAATCTTAATGGACGTTTGCGCAACTGACCATTATACTGATATCCTGATAGAATGTAAAACTTTAGGCTCAATTGAAACCGCCACGAAATGTGATGGAAGGTACCTTTTTCAACTAAATTGTACAAAGCATATTGACCTTTATTTCAACTGTATAACATACTTTCGTTGCAAATATTCGCTGTCATTATTTCATCTATTCTGTAGATTTTGCTGTACCCGCTACATTGGGTTGACAATTAAAATAAATGAAGAAGCATTTTTTCAAAAGGAGCCGCCAAATTCTATGGCTTTTTTAATCACAGGCCGCGAGGTTTCCTTGAATAACGATTTTACTAATATATAACTTTAAATAGGTAACTTTTCAGACTACTAATGTCATTATGTGATGCAACTTCGCCATAAAAATAAAACAGAAATATAATACTAGCGCCAACACCATTGTACCAATCATAGGAAAGCGAGATAATATAAAGACTTATAATTCTAAAAAAAATTAAATTGAAATAAAAATAAACAAAGAAACAATAATAAAATTTTGATAATACAAAAAAATGACTTACCTTTTTTATAAATATTCGGTAACGTTCATTTCAAATCACACATTACAATAATAATTTTTATGTATTTGAAAATCATAGAAATAATCTCATGAAAATAACAGTAAATTAAAATACTGATACTCTGAAAATTCTCTCAATTGTCAGTAGCAAGTCAGTACTTGAATAAGTATTAAATACTAGAAAACTTACAAGCTAAGTACTTACCAGTTCTGCTACTATTTGCTTCTGTAGCCTCTGACACTCGTTCATGGTCTGTTTCACATACTTGTGAGGTTGGTGCTTTGGCTATGAAAAAAAAAATAACAGAAGTTAACACATTTTTTTTAATAATTACATATTAGTATAACCCGTTTATTTAGGTGGCGTAGTGGATAAGCTATCAGCGATCGTTATTGTTAAGCAACTTTCGCTAAGGACTGACCCGGGATGGGTGACAAAAAAATTATCTCAAGCTACTTCGTTCTTTAGAAGGTACGTTAAGTTGTTGGTCTTGTCTGAATTTACAGTCATTAATACCATCCAATCCACATTGGACCAGCGTGGAAGATTGTGACCCATCCATACGAGACCTGAGCCTTGACGTAAAAAGGGCTTACGATAATTATTACCCATCAGGGGCAACTCAGAGTGTATTATTGGTATAATGTTATAAAGAGCTAGGATTTTTTTGTTTGTTTGCATTAAATGAGGAAGTATATAAAAAAAAAACGAAAGCACTAAAAAAGCACGTATAAGTTGATTTTTGCAGGAAACGAATGGACCAAAGACAGTCATTTTCGTTCCTTTTAACTAACATGTTAAAAAACTGAAATTTGAAAAGTTCGTAACTTAGATATCAATACAAATACGAAAAATTACAAATAGAATATGAGTTGTTTATTGAGTTTTGAAAACTAGTTTACTTTTAAATATGAAAGAAAACCGGAAGGATTGTCATGGAGAAATCAAGAAGATTTTTTTTAATACTTCCTCATTGGTTTCGAAAATAGTGGACTGATTTTAAAATTTTTTTCACCTACTGGAAGTTACATCATGCGCGGTTGATTTTAATACGAATCTATACTAATAATAAAGCTGAAGAATTTGTTTGATTGAACTCCAAAATCTAGGAACTACTGGAACGGACTGAATTGTTTTTGTGTTGAATAGTTCACTTATCGAAGAAAGCTGTAGGCTATATAACATCACGATATGACTTATAGGAGTGGAGCAGTAATCATAAATATTACAATAACGGGAGAACATTTTCCTTTTTACCCAACTGCGCGACGCAAAGGAGGGTAATGTGTTATCAGTCTATGTATGTTTGTTTCTATGTGGCGTTCTAGAGACCAAATGCGTAGGCCGATTTTGATGATTCTTACGTCAATCGATTCGTCTTAACCTTGCGAGTGTCACTAAAGACATGACAGTAATCAAAATTCACCACAGCGATAACCAGACGCCATATTGTCTAAATGAAAAAAATAAAAATTGACGAACTATGTCAAGTGGGGTGTCGTTGAATAAGTATTTGAAATTCATCTTTAGGTTCCTTTTATCATTTTTCATTTTAAATAATAGTTAAGGATATATAACGATTTAAAGTTGTTTAACAAAACATTCTCGCTAATTTTCTTACTTATTGATTAAAGTTTTTATTTAAAGTATAAACGATATACAAACAAAAATAAAGGTCAAGCATATGTAGCTTTGAGCCGAGTTAGGTCTCTAGAGGGACAAATCATCAGTAGTTTAGACCACCGCAAGTTACTTAATAATACCCACGATGTATACTCCCTCAATGAAATAACTTGATTGCGAAATTTACCATCTTATAACGAAGTCAACGAATCGTAACTAAAAAGTATAAAATAAAAATAAATAATTTAAAGAAAAACAAAAATCCCGACTGCGTAAAAACGAATTTAAAAAAATATACGAAAGAATTAACTTAAATAAAAACTAAAAAGAAAGAAACAAGCCCAGTAGTTTAGAATTCTGTTCAGTAATACAGAACAGAACGAATTCTTTCATTTATTTTTTTAAATTCGTTTTTACGCAGTCGGGATTTTTTTTTTAGCTTTCCAAGCGTACGCTGTATAAACGGCGAAACGCAAAAACAATGTATTACGAAATTGATCCTCTTTAAAAGTTCTAAAATAGTCCACGGCAGCATATGTCTATCATTATCTTATCCCGAAAAAAAAAACACATAAAGGAATGACAATGGGAGTCGAAGTTCGTATAGGACATTAAATCGTTACCATAGTAACCATTGTTTATTGGTTTTTAAAAGATGTAAACTTATAGTCGTTAAATTAATTGTTACATACTAATATTATTATCATTATTATTTAGTTAAAAATTTACAATTATTTTGTAAATTACAATTATATGTACAATTATAATTTACAATTTCATTGTAAATTTGATTTTTTAATTTGATGTGATGTTATACACATATTTACATATAAAGTAAAATAACATTCTGATTGATAACTTTTGTTATTATCATAATTTGTATGAACATTTCTAAATACAATGACTAAAAATAATGTTTATTTTTGCTTTTATCACTTAGGTACTTCAGTTGTGCTGTATTCAGATACACACCAATTAATATAAAAAATAAAAACTCAGTCGTAATTATGAGTTTCAACGGAAATTAATCATCTACTTTTAAAAACATAGGCATTGCAAGTTGTCAAAGTTTTTATATTGAGTTATCAATATATTTTAGTTACCTCATTTAATTCGGATGATTAAAATGATTTTACAACCCTCTGGCCACCTAAAATAATTTTGTAATATAAATAAATAGATAGTTGGTGATTTTAATATTTTGTCTAAAATAATAGGTTTAATTTCATAGCGTCAAAGCTTCCAAAGTTGCGGACGCTAGATATAGCTGAAGTCGTGCACATAGCCAATACCCAATAATAAAATAATAATCATGAAATTCGTGTAATGTAGGTTTGTATGTCCTTTTTATGTAACGGCACTTTTACTGGGATAAAAGTAGCTTATTTTAATCGAAAATGGAAGTTTTGATTAACACCTCTGCTGCACCAAGATACAGTTAAATACTTGGGTATGCACTTAGTCGAAGACTAACCACGAGCAACCGCCTAACTCTCTCGCTATAACTATAGCCATAGACAACGATATTATTACTTATGATAAAAAGCTGGTAAGTTTCTTTCGCTTGTTCTTCTTGTCAGCTAAAAGACGTCCTGAACAAGTGGTAGGGGAAAAAAAATTTTTTTGGACGATTCAAAAGTGCTTGCAAATAGCCTACTTGAATAAAGATATTTTCATTCATTTCATTCATTCATTCATTTTCATTTTTCATTCATTCATTAATGAGCATGTTAATATTCTTATGTATACAATGTTCTTGTTTTATTATTTTCAAATATAGTTGTTTTAGATTAAATTTACAAAATTACGAATTTAGACAAACAAAGCTATTCGGAAAAGAAAAGTGACCCAAAATGTTTGATAAATATAATAAAAACATGTTTGATACAATCAATAAAACGTTTCTGTGGTTATAGCGCGAGAGCTTGGTCGTTGCTCTGCTGGAAAGAACAACTTGCGTGAAATCAACTTGAAAGACCAACTTTACATCAGATACAGAAATCTGCAGTGGTTTGTTGGACTATGCTTAGCATTTTCATTAAAAAAAAGTCATAAAGCCGATATAGACGTACTGCATTCAACTTTGGGAATCAACCAGTAGCTTCAGTATAGAAACATTCAAAAAGCACATAAATAGCATCTTATGTAATCTATCTAATAAGCCATTGTTAATAAAAATAACTAGCTCAGTTATTTTTAAGCTAACTGAGAACTAGTAGTTAGCATATTCAAGGACGAAATAAGGCAATAATCGGTCAAAAGAACACCTTCTGATCACCCAAATAGCCTGGCAGTACAACTGACAAGCGTCAACTACCCTGATAGTCTTAAACGTTAACACATCATTGAATAAAGAAATAGAGAGATAGAGTACTGATCGTACAAGATCAAAATGCCCATATCATATCTGCTTATGGTCATCAGATTTATTACAGAAATAACAAAAAAAAATGTTAATCCAGACAAAGAATTATCCAAATTACATCAAAATCCATTCAGAAGTTTTGCCGTGAAATAGTAACAAACATACATACATCCTTACAAATACTTACATTTATAATATTAGTAGTAATAATATTTTATACACACCTGCGTAGCTTTGGCATTTGTCTGTAGAGCTTTATTGATGTCACTGATTGAATGTATTGATACATCCAGAGTAGAAGATTCGATTTTATCCTGTTTTGTTACATGTTTTTGTGCTTTTTTGCTGGCCTCTGGATTCTATTGACAAAAAATATATATCTAACATTTATCTTTTAAAAATAACTATATTGACATTACACATACATTACAAATATAAGAAACAAGTAAACGAAAAAAAAAAGATAAACAATAACTAAGAAAATTAGCATAAAACTATATATAATGTTGTCCAATTAGGACCTTGGAATATGTTGGTTAATGGATATGTATAACTAGCTTTCGCCAGCGGCTTCGCTCGCGTGGTCCCTAGGGAAATGTTTAGTGGGATAAAAAGTATCCTATTATGTAAGTCAGCTAATACCCTATCTGTATACCAAATTTCATCAAAATCCGTTCATTAGTTTCGGCGTGATTGACCGACAAAAATCCAAACATCCAAACAAAGAAACTTTCACATTTATAATATTAATAGGATTAGATGAAAAAATAAATAAAAAACTTCATGTAAACAAACAAACTTTTAAGGACGCGTTTAATATGAGAAAATAAAAAAAGTTTTGATAATAAAGACAGGGGAAAGTTAAATATTCACCCCGTGATCTAAGAAAGTACAACTAAAATTTTAGAAAAAAAAAATAGGTGCTACATCAAAAAATTACAGGTAAAAGTTGAATTTTAAAATTTATATGTGGGACCTTCTCATTAGTCTGATACGCACTTGTATTATGGGAATGCGAAACAATGAAAATACCACAATATTTAGACCCAACTGGGAATTGAATATACTTATATGGAGAATTTTAATATTACTTATTTAATACTATTGATGAAAACAAAATATTTTTTTAGAATATTAAATTTAGAAACTGAAATCACAGTATATGTCTATCTCTGTCTAATCGAAATTTAAACTCTTTTATGACATAGTAATTCAGTAGATTAATGATATTACTGGAAATAAGACAAAAAAGTTTTCTTTCATAATAATATAAACTTTTTGAATGAATTCTGTTGTTTTGTCCTAAGATTTCACAATGGATATTTTAATATGTATATAAAAGTTTGGTCTTTTTTTCTTTTACATCATTATTCCTTTGGACAAGGGATATAGTAATTAAAATGCACTTTTCATTTCTTACAAAGTTATGATGTGTGAGGTCATCTTCCCAGTTATTAATTTGGTCGGCGAGCGCAGCGAATCGACCGAATTTCTTCTTGGCATCATTCTTCACTTGCTGTACATCATGCTTTGGGGGGGTTGCTGCAGAGAACTCTTGCTCTGTGCGATGGATAGGCGAGGAGAGGGTTGGTTTATCTGTCAAATAAAAAAAGTACTGTGCAATTTTCATTGACTTTGGTGTAATAAACTTACGGACGGGTCTACCGTTATGGCACGACGGGCATAGCCACAACCCTAATTGAGTTGTGACGTCACATTTCATGGTCTACTGTCAATTTCATTATGATTCTAGGTTTGAACAAGTTATAACAGCATATTATAAATTAAAAGATTTAGCTTAGTAATGCTAGACTGACATCAGCCCAGAAGAAAGAAATTGTGTGGTGCTACTCGGTTGATGTCAGTCTAGCAGTGCTACATAATGTCTTAATTTCTATAAAAATTTTTAGTTTAGCCATTAATCGCCGCTATATCCCAGACTGATAAATAAGGAACAAAAAGAAAACCCAGAAGTACAGAGATCTAGCTGTGGTGCTGCCAAACTGACTTTAGCCCAGCAGTGCCATTGGATATTTATCCTCATTTTGTAATAGACTAATACTTAATGGATCAAGAATTCATTTCAAAATTGAAGAGGGTGGTGTTTCCATTCTGACACACCGCTGACAGTAGGCATTATTGGCTTGACATTTCTATTGCAGTTTTACAAGATAAATCCCTGTAATGTGTATATTTATGAACCAACATGAGTTATAGAATATATATTTGCAAGTTATATGAGAATAATCTTATATACATTTTATATCTTTGATGTTCAGTCTCAGGTAGGCCAATGGCCGTCGCTCTGATAGCGAAAGGTTGTGGGTTCAAATCCCCATCTGGAGTTACCTGGGAGTGGTGAATTTTTTAAGCATTTTTATTGAAAGATATTTAGTGAATTTTGCAAAATAGATCAAACATTTAATAAAATTATTGTTATAATATACCTGAGTACAAATTGCCAAGCCTGTCAAGACGTGATTTGATGTTAGTACGGAGGCCTGCTCTCTCTGTTTTGTGTTCCATTTCTGTAGTTGTCATTTCCAATGGCATCTTACTTGGAGGCTCTGAAATGGTTATTTAATTCAAATTTGTTATTTATGTTTGATTAGTTTGAATAATTATATATAATTTGCAGGTAAATAAGATGTACTTGAATATAGACATAATTTAAAAGTAATTAATAATAACTTTGATTGATTAATTAATAATTTTTATACAATAAAAAGCCTCTTTAATATTTCAAGTACTTTACCAAGGATAATAAATATTACAACATATTTCTCATACTACATAATGCTAACACAATATATATTATATAGTGTATATACTTTGGGTATAGTTTCAATTTGGTTTCTATTTAGAAAAAGAACTAAGAAACTAAAATCAGAAACTAAACCTTGTTAAATTCTCAATTCAGAAATCAGGTGTCATTTGGATAATATAAATATATTAATTCAAACTTGCCACTGTTTAAAGAACAAAGTACTCACAAGTAATATTGTCAGACTATCAGAGGCACGTTAACGTTGATAACTTTACCATAATGTTGTAAGAAAACAACTGACTAAATTCAAATTTAACAAATAAATTTGTTGTAATAAAATAATAACTTTACCATTAGATGTCTAAAGCCATTTGCTAATGAAATCCTCAGAAACATTATCATGTTTGGATGAGTAATGTTACTAATAATTAGGATAATGTTGTTTGGGGAAAATATTGAGTATTCAATAAATCTCATGTTATTGACCTTTTGATCATAAATGATAAAGAATTGCAACCATACAAAATTGCTATTGTTATTTAATACTGCTAATTAAAAACAATAAATTGCATATATTTATCTTTACTAATATTGTAAAGAGAAAAGATTTTTATTATTTGTTTACTACTAATAAATTTCAAAACTGCTAACCAATTATGAAAATTCTGTAAGCTACACATGTGACATTGGCTATATAATTCAGCCCAGACATATGGCGCCCTTCCTCTATCAACGCTCCATGAAGACCGTTTTTAAATTATTGTTTTTTTTGCAGTTTGGTGCATTGTGTGGATAACACAATACAACTTTTTAGAGATAAGGCCACAATTATAATCATGTCCATAGTATCCTCTGATTAATGATTAAAGAAATTACCTTCAATTTCTCTGATGGTCGCCTTACTTGCAATATTGTTACAATCATATATAACACTCATAGGTGCATCTCTCTCTTCTATTTGGACATCCACATGTATATCTTTACCATGCATTATATTGATTTCTAAAGAAACATCAGAATTACGCCTACTACCACTGCCTTGGGAACTCTTAATCTCGGTTTTAGTAACAACTACATCATTGCGCATTTTCTGAGGTGATGCTACATGGTCTTTTTGTATGCTAGGTCTTCTCGTAACAGATTTGACAGGACTATCTGCTTTTAAAGAGACTCTACTGGCAGTCTTAGCTGGACTATCAGACTTGGTGGATGACCTTCTTGTTGACGGAACTGTAGTCTTCGAGTTTTTACTTGGAGATTTCGCGGGAGATTCATTTTTTATTATAGATACGTTTTCTGCCAAAGGCTTTCGTTTAGGTACGATCTGACCGGAACTTGCAAGTTTTTGATCAATTTTCTCCTGTCTAGCACGTGCTCGCTCCAACATACGCTAAAATAAATAAGAAGTTATTTTCAATTTCTTCTAGGCTTGGCACATACGAAAACTTTATAATAGAATTTGAATCCAAACTTACCTGTGTGAAAGGATCCATAGTAATTTATACAAATTTCAGTTAACAAGAATAGCACAATTACACAAATATCATAGCTTTTACTCTTTTCAACTTTTATTTCACGGTTTCTTACCAGTCACTAGGAAATAAATCGACACAAACAAATTCACCCGTTGAAAGTTTGACATTCACAAAATTACAAAACGTTTTTTTCAAATTAGTTTTATACTTACTCGCTAGGTGCCGTATCTGTTGTTTTGAATGTGAGAATTCGTTTAGGAATAAAAAATATTAATTTATTTTAGAGATGGGCCGAGTGCTCGGTTGATACTCGGTACTCGGTGTACTCATACTCGGCAGGTTTTTTGATACTTGTACTCGGCCGAGCAACTCGATATGAATGCCGAGTATACTTTTTTTAAGAAAAGCAATATCTTTCGGTAGATATAATTAAAACAACAGTGTTAATAAAAAAGTATTTATTACTACTTTCTACTAGGAATTTGGTGTTTGGATTTTAAGATATTCATTAATCTTTGGAACCCATTATTTTCCCGAGTTAAACTCGGTACTCGTTACTTGGCAAAAGTATAACTCGGCGCATCTCTAATTTATTTAATGTCTAATAAAATGTTTCATAAAATTGATTTAGTTTGGAACTGATTTATTTGGTTAGAATTGATTTTTCCACTCCTATGATACTATTAACTTGCTTAATGATAGTACTATATACTTATAAGTATATTTTTCTGAACGCATTTCATTTTAGGTACTTTATAATGTGCACTTTATCATTTATACAATACCTAATATTTTAATATCACTATAAAAATATCACGTTTCTCGAGGCGTATCGGTAATGGTGCGTGCAGACTAAACAGAGGTTCAGCTTTAATGAGTAAACGAAAGTTTATTTAGTATTTTCATAATCTTCAGAGCCAACTGTTCAGATAACACTTTTGTTCTAGAACTTATTCAATATTTCGTCCTCTTTCGGGCTTTCTAACCATTATTTAATTATTCAAAAATTGAATTTATAAAAAAAGGTCGGATGTATACATGAATTAAAAAAAATACAAAGGATTATTTTCCAAATTTGCCTTTTGTAATCTTGAAATAACGCCTTCAAAGTAGGGCTAATGTCCATATAACATATTTCGTTTCTTTTGGTTCGGGGAATCCATACAACTTGAAGTGCGAAAGAGATGATTTTGTAATGGGCGTTAGAAAGAGAAAAAACGATAACATACTCGCTACAAACACCGACAACCCGGGGCCGCGTCGCTATATAGGAGAAAAAGGTATCTTCCGCTCAAAAACCAATAACTTGTAGGAACCAACATAATGGTGAAGGTGTGGATCTACTGGATGATAAAGACAACTAGCAAGGAAGACTAAAGAGTATTTGTTTCCCTCCGAGCTAAATGTGTATTGTCGGATCAGCCGATGTAGGTTGAATGTTCTATTTATGCAAATTGGTAGTGAAATTTATTGTGGGCGATGTAGATTTCCTTTGTTCTAAACGACTTTTAGTATCTTAATTAACAATGTATAGCATCATCTCGTTACTAGGTGTTGGAACTTCTTGCAGTTCGTCTTGCTATCGATTGGTGTGACGATGTTACTACGATGTGTTAGTAGATGTCGTTACGTATCATTCGCCACAAACTTTCTGTTTTTGATATATTATATACATAAAGTAAAATAAAAAACAGAAATAATTAGAAAAATGGAGCATAAAATAAATAATAATAGTTTTGTTTTATTATTAATCTTTATTGTGATGAAGAATACGCTGCATTTAAATGAGAATTACTGTGCCATTATATTTATTTTAACATACCTAACCATTTGATACATTGTCTTTGTCATTGATTTAATATACTGGCTCCTTCTTGCGTTTCTTTTGAATAGTTAATTATATCAAAATATTTAATATTCCATGAAAAGTCGGATGTGTATTTATATGAGCAGGTCAAATATCCCCGAAAATATTTTATTTGGATTTATATTAGTTTTCGAACTGAACGGATATAAATATAAGGCCTAGGAACATTGACATTTTTTGGAACCAAAATAGCGGATGTTATTATCCTGCCATGTTTTGAGAAAATGCCTGTAAAGTATCAAAAATGAACATCCGACCAGTTGGCTCTGATGTACAGATTTGAACAATGTTCGGTTTAAGCATGAAAACGCGAACGCTCGGATCGGATTTTTCCACATTCTTATGTTTCGATTAGCTCTAGAACTCCAAACGGTGAACTATGTTTAAATGAAAACAAGATAAATATTTATTTAGGAAAGAAGATACTACTAAAATAATTGTCACTATATTAACAGCGGTATTTTATTTAACATGCGCGAAACGATGACGTTAAAAACGTAACAAACGAACGTAAAAACGGTTCAAAGATTTTAAAGGGCTACAAAATACAAGGTAATTTAATTACCTATAATGGGAAAAGTGATTGTAGCATCAGAAATAAACGTGTAGGTGTACGTGTATATATTCATCATTTCTGTCAAAGTTTTCAGATACTTCATGTTGGTTTTTATCTGGCAAATATTAACATAGCCTTAGAATATAATTGTTGTTAAAATGGCGTGGTTTTTCTTGATCCTTGTTCCCTATTCAATTCCATTCAGGAAGGACTGTGCTCTAGCAATGGAAACGTTAGTAGGCTGACGATGATTATTTTTAATCACCACTTATCAAGGGCTGGGTCCAGTACCTAGGTGGACCACTGATTAAATATTTTTTGTCACAATATACATTTTATTTAAATACTTTCAAAATTTAATCAATCTATATAATACTTTGTATCTATTACTATCAAAATAAATTATAACTTCTTAAAACTTGACCAATAGGTAGGTACTATGTGACCCCCCTTGGCGCCAAAGTTGGATCCGCCCTTGCTGCTTATTTGTATGTTATATCTTTCTACATACTAATTGAAAGTTAAGTATTTTTGGGGGTACCTACATGCTCTCTTAAATTGCAAATGTACAATAAACCCTTGAACTGTACAGGGCCGGATTAGTCACATACAAAAGTAGCAAAGGCCGTAGGGCCCGCGCGTTTGGAGCCTTGCTATAGTTCAGAGCCAATAAATTAATTTTTCAAGTGAATGTTAAAAAATGCAGGACTTAAATTAATAATTTAAAAAGACAATCAACACCTTAATCTTATGTGAACACGGAACCTGTAAAGGGTCCGAAACGTCAATAAAACTAAATACAAACGCGATAAAACCGTTTGAATATGCCGTGCCATACCTACATTAATTGATAAATTAATATACATTGTGCGTAATAAAGAAAATTTTGACAAATGTAAGTAAGTGTGCACGAGTACAGGGCGGGATTAGTCATGTAGCAATAGTAGCAAATGTTTTTTGGAAAGCAAAGGACGACTTTTCGGGATTTCGAGAGTGTTCTTTAAAAAAAAATGCTACAGGCCCCGCTCTGTCTTAATTCGGCACTGGAACTGTAATAACATAATAACACTAATAGACACCAAGTGAATAATGATATTATTACGCAGTATGACATAGTATCATTGACTTGTATTAAAGGTCATTCTTACCTACCACAAAGGCAACGCCGTGACGTGTCGATAACTACGAAACTTCTTCCAGGAACTTATTTAGGCAATTATAGGCAAGCGAAATACATCTAGAACTTACAACAAATAGGGAAAGAAAGGATTTCTATTTAGTCCATCAGTCAGATATTGGAGAAATATTGGTACCTATTTTGTTGTTTCAATTTAAACAAGAAATGTTTTAGATAATAAACATTAGAGTTAAGGAGTGGGGACTTGCTAAGTCACAGTTTTGTAGAAAATGTACAAAAGCGTGACATCATGCGTTTCAACTCAATATATTGCCGTAATTTATTGCTTACGCAAAAAATATTCTTCATTAATCTACCTGGCGGATAAATAAACAAAAATTGGTTGTCATCCCTACTGTTGATTATCTTTCGAATAGGGGCGGAACATATCAAATTTCACTTAGAATATATTCATAGAAAATAGTTTTTAATAGGGCACCTGCACCATTAGAGACTAGATATCATTAGGTTCAATATTCAATAGGTTCTATACACAAATAAATAGTGATTAAAAAGGAGCAAAAACACGTCATATTTCAAAGAGTTTTGTCACATCAAAATTTATAAAATTGATTAAATGAATTTTGTGAATTTATAAAAGTTGGTTATCGATATACCTAACAAAATCACCAAGTCACTCGTAACATTACATATTTTTTTCTATCTCTTGTAATTATTGTCTTTTTATAAGGTTTTAAATAAGATACGATGACTATAGGTATGTAATATATTTATAATAATCGCAATGGTTTAAGAAGGCTTAACGTGCCTTTCGTACGCTTTACTTAAATAAAAAAATCTTAAGCTCTTTTTGTTTGTTACTTTAAACATTTGTATCGGAATGAATTTACTTTAGAACAATTATGTCAAATTAACAGCCCGCGGGCTGCATCCAACCTGCGATCATAATATATCACAGAAAAAAATCTTTTTATGAGATTTTAGACTGCACTTGAAGACTACGGAAGTTTGAAATTGCGCATGCAGTTTTATCAGAGGCCCGGCAAAAATGCATATACCTATTAAGGGAAAGTGATAAAATAAAATAGACGTATGCAATCTACATAACTATTTTTACTTTAAATTTGCTCTTTGTTTCATCAACTTTAGAAAGAGCTATAAACAAAATAAAAACTTATACAATTTCTTCTAAAGTACTTGTTATCCTTTTTGCCCGCAGAGGTCGGGCAAGACGGATATGCTGCTGCTGACTAAGGATAACTTAAAAATAACATAGTCTTGACACTCATCAAAAAAGTAACTACCTACACCTAAATAAGATGTAAATTTTTTTGGGCATTGGCTACACTGAATCTCCCTCCAAACGCTAAATAAAACAAAAGTAAACGGACTAACTAACAAAAGTAAACGGAGTCTTTCTCCGTTTACTTTTGTTAGGATTGGCTGATTCAGATATTTTAGTCTTTTGTTGGTTGATTTTTCTTGGTCCATCTTGCTCATAGGTTTTACCCACAAAAGTAATATTAGAGCGATTAACAAAATTCATATGTTATATGTAGGCTATAAAAGAATTTACTACCACAAATTATACTTAAACAAATG